AAAGCTAACCCAAAATAAGGATTTTGAAGATACTTTATCATAAGTGGTCACAGCCTGCTTTGTTTTTGTAAACACTGAAAGACCCTTTAATGCAAAGATTTATTTTATATTTGGACTAAGGTTCTTGAACTAATCTCCCAAAGTATTTTCCACAGAATTTAACATAGCTTCTATAAAAGTGACCTCTTGCTTATTTGTGGATCATTCTTGCTGCTTAAGATGAAAAGCCTTGATTTTTTTAAAATTGGAGAATAAAATATGTATTTAAATTTTTTTCCTGTGTTCATGTAAGGGATATAGTTTAAAAAGTTACACAGACTATTGCTTATATTTTCTTGCAGCATTTCCTGTTAAAAGGTGGTTAGATATATAATTATCTTCTTAACTGAATTTCAGATGGTCTTAAGGCCACAGGGTGCAGGTAACCCTTGGTCTGTAAGCACCACTGATCCAGGGATCATTGGCTAAATATATTGGTATTGTGCTTCATCTTGCTTTTTACTTTTTATTTTTTAATTTCCAAATTGTAAGTGTTCCCTCTTTGGGGCAAATTCTTATAAAAATGTTTATTGTAAAGTTATATATTTTGTCTACAATGGGATTATGCACTTCCCAATTGGGATTTTACATCAGGATTTTTACTCATACTAAAAAATACCTAATTATTAAATCAAAATATTTATAGAGTGCCTACTGTATGCATGAGTTACTTATGAGGTATATTTTGAATGACAGCATATTGTAAGAAAAAAGGTAAATAAAACTTGATATTAGATTATAAATTGGCATAGTCTGTTTATTGGATTATCATATACTTTTATACTTTTTTGTTGAAATATCATTCACCTCGCATAAAATTCACTATTTTAAAATGTATAATTCGGTGTTTTGTTTTTTTTTAAATCATGGGGAGAAAGGTCTCAAATGTAAAACATCAACATCAGACCCCTTTGTGCTCCTTTCCACCTTCAGTGGCAATCATATTGAAATCTTTTAGCTATTTCTTACATTTATAAATGCCATATTTTGAAATATGTTCACACAAAGACCTGTATGTGAACATTTATAGCAACTTTCTCCATGATCCCAAACCAGATCACTGAGAACAACCAAATGTCCATCAAGTGGTGAATGGATAAACAAATTGTACATCCATACAGTGGATATTTATTTAGTCAGTAATCCAGAATTGCATCAGAGTTCAGGCAGAGAAGCAGAACTGCCAGGATATTTGCAGGCGTGTGTGTGTTTGCATAGTGATTTGTTTACAGGGATTTGCTATTCCACAATTGGGGTTGGTTAAGCATCTATCTCTGTGAGGCTGCTGTTTCTGCACCTAATGTAGAGCTCACAGGGTAGACAATTAGGAAGGAACAGTAGATGTAAAGTGGAGGAAACAAGAACGAAGCTGGAACCCAGGAGGATGACGGACACCTATGTCACTCTTTATGGGCTCAAACTTGGGATAATTAGATGTATCCTGTGTGAAAAGTTACCTTTTGTCAGGTTGCTAAACACACACTTGACCTCGGAGTTGAAGAAGCTTTGAAGGAAGATCCTCGGAAAGGTAGGACAACATAGACCACACTGCTGCCCCATCCCAAAAGTTGAGCCAGCAGATAAGTTATACCCCATATGAGCTACAAAAGTGCCTGCATAGAAAATAAGATGGCTGCTGCTTCACGTCTGCCCTCCAAATTTCACACTGAACTGTGTCTTGTGGCTCATCCTATATAAGGAAGGAAATCCTGGGAAACAAAACAGCCTACCCAAGTTGGCCCAAGAACAAACTACAGATCTATGCTATAACAGACGAATCTTATAAGTATCACGCTAAATGAAGAAGCTCATCACGAAAGGCTACATGCTGTATGATTATAAAACATTCTAGGAAAGAGAACTATGGAAACTGAAATCTGATCATTGGTTACTAAGATCTGGTGGGAGGAGAAGATTGATGGTACAATTAGTCAAACTAAACACTCAAAAAGGGTAAATTTTAATGAATAGAAATTATGCTTCATTAACCTGACAAAAATACATAAGGCTACAACTTACTAAAATAAGAAAAATAACAGTAGACTACAGCTCAGTATCATTCCAAAAGAAAACAGTGCTTGAATATGCAAGTTAGTAGCCCATCATTTACAACACAGTGCTGTGAAGTATGGTAATAAATACCAAGGTAAATTATTCTGTACTACTTTTTCAAAATAATTTTGGCTATTCTAGCTTCTTTCTTTTTCATCTAAGTTTTGGAATCTGCCTATAAATAAACTGAAAGAGTTAGTTGGGATTTTTATTGGAATCGCATTGACACTGAAATTTTTGTTTTCCTCAGAAAATACATTTATAAAATCTAAGCAGGCTGAGGTTATAGGTAGGCCCTGAGGAGTAAACCAATTGGGTCTAATTATTCAGATTACACTAAGAAAATATTAATGGTACCAGGGATACGGCTGCCCTGAATTTCTCATTTGTAAGTTAATTTGTTAGCTCTTTGGCATCACTGTCCTATTCATAAACATGTGTTTCTTGAAGATAGAAGAATTACCAGTTATAGCGTTCCTCTTCATTTGATAATATCACATTGTTTTCTTGCTCCCCTTGTCCTCATTATGAAATACTTTGATATGCCATTCAAAATTAGGAAAAATTTAATATGCTACCTAAATGCTTTAAAAATAACCATCTTCAGGCGACATTATTTCTGATGTAAATTAGGTTACAGTAATAGAAGAAGCAAAACAGCAGGTTTATGTAGGAGGTAAGCATATGTTTAAAAAAAGAACTGTTTCAGCCAAATGATAGGTAAGCTCTATTTTCTTCATTCTGCAGTCTTGAGTTTCCTGTGTATTTGTGTCTATGTCTTGGTCTCTCTTTTCATTAGAAAGGCTAGTTAATCCATTTTTCAATTTTAGGCAGATTATTCTTATTCAAAGACAATAAAAATTATCAGGTGCTATTGGAAAAGAATTTTGAGGAGGAAAGTACTAGGCTCAGTAACTCATCTAAAAATTTAATAAATTTTGTGAGGCTATTTTAATGTTTTAAATTTAAAAAATTTTAAAACTCATCCATCCCCATTTAATATTTCAGTGGAAATAGCAAACAATCACTACATTTTCTATAATGATTGTTTTAATGCAGAGTCTTTCTTTTTTTTTTTGAAGTTAGAAAACTAGGCCAAAACCGTTCTCTCAGTGTTGGGGGTGAATGGCACAAATTTGTTGAATGAAAATTTAGCATTATTTACTTGTGTAAATATCCTAGAACTGATGTCCAGTCAGACACATATCTAACAGTTTTTGTGCTCTAGAACCTATTTTGTCATATCAGATTGGAAGAAAACTTAGATTACCTACTTCAACCTTCTCATTTTATAGGTGAGAAAGTCACATTTGAAGTAATTTGTCCACGACTGAATCATGACTGACTTGAGAGCCTGAACTCAATTTGTTGTATCAGGTAAGATATATTCCAAAGCTTTACTTTTTTAAATTAATTTCTCATTGTCAGTTCATCTTGGTCAGAGAACAGAACTGAAGATGCCTAGTTCTTGCTTTTCCAGATGAATTGTTTATTAAAGTCTTCACTTATGACCAAGGACAGAAGCAGACCAGTGAGATGAACAAGATATAAGAGGAAAAAGGGGGAGAGTGAGGGTAGTAAACATAAATAGAAAATCAGGAGTCAGTCTCAAAACAAGCCAGGCCATGGAGGGACTGAGGGTTTAGAATGGAGAAGACACTGGTTGATTTTTTTTCTCTATGCCACTTTATAACCTGATCAACTTGGTTATTCAAGGATCTAGGAACAATTTAAGACCTCTCTAAGGGATCTCAGAAAGGATCCAATTCATTAAGGAGACTAAAGTTCTCTCACTCGTAGGACACTGTGAGGGAGAATCCAAGTCTTTGCCTTGTCTAGGAGTCTAATATTAATTTCTTGTTTGTAAGATAAATTAACCAGCTGTATGAAAGTGTGTAAGTTTTCTTAATATACTTCTGTACTCGAAAGCTCTATCTCACTGTTTAAATGTAACTCAGTCTTAATATCAGAATGCCATGGGAATATCCTTCAAGTAAAAGATAACATTTCAAAGTTATAATCAGATTTTAGCCTTTTAAGATCTAATTGTTGACTTTGTTTTTTGGAGGAAGAAGCAAATTACAAAAACAAAGTAGAAGTCTAGTTTTCAAAATGTTTTTAATTGAAGAATAGCAGACACAGTGTTACATTAGTCTCTGGTGTACAACATAGTGATTCAACAAGTTCATTCATTATGCTGTGCTCACCACAAGGGTAGCTACCATCTGTCACCATGCAACACTATTACAGTACCATTGATTATGTTCCCCGTGCTGCACCTTTCATCCCCGTGACTTAAAAGTTAGGATTTTAAATAACAACTTTAAAATTATCCAGAACAAGGACCCCGGGTGGCTCAGCGGTTGAGCATCTGTCTTTGGCTCAGGGCATGATCCTGGGGTCCAGGATCAAGTCCCTCATTGGGATCCCTGCGAGGAGCCCGCTTCTCCCTCTGCCTGTGTCTCTGCCTCTCATTTTCTATGTCTCTCATGAGGAAATAAAAAAAAAACTAAAATAAATAAATAAAATTATCCAGAACAAATTTCTATGTATGTCCCAGAGCTACTGTGTCTGAATACCCAATTCTGTACATCCACGTGTATTCCCATACTTATACATCCTTAGACTCTATGTTAAAAAAAAAAGGCTTAGTGTGTAAGTAATGACCCTCACATATTTAATTCAAGATGCTTAATTATAAAAGATTTTTAAAAATGCAGTATTTTGTCCTTAGGTGAGGGCATATATATATATATATATATATATATATATATGCCCTGTATATGCCATATATATATATATATATATATATATATATATGGAAAAAGGGGGAGAGTTTTAGTTGCACCTCAGACTCCCTGACATTGCAGATATATATATATATATATATATATATCTAGGGGGCCAACTTGTGAAAGTCTGTTAACTCTAACCACTTACCTGCAGATTTTTTTCTTTTTTTTTTTTTAGGATTTTATTTATTTATTCATGAGAGACACACAGAGAGAGGCAGAGGGAGAGGCAGGCTCCTCCCTGGGAGCCTGATATGGGGCTCAACCCCAGGATCCCGGGATCACAACCTGAGCCAGACAGATGCTCAACCCCTGAGCCACCCAGGAGCCCCTAACCTCAGTTTTTTTTTTTTTTTTTGGCTCTTCTATTTGAATGATCATATCATCTTTGCATTATAACAGTCATTTCTTCCTGTCCAATATCATTTATTTCTTTTCCTTTCCTTACTACATTAACTAGACCCACTGGTGCAATTTTAATAGAAATGTTGACCTCAGGCATTTTTGTTTTATTGCTGATATTTAAATGCTTTCAATATATCACCATTTGCTGCAGGGTTGTGGGGTTTGTTTTTGTTTTTGTCAGCTTAAGGAAGCCCTCATCCATCTTTAGTTTCCTGAAGTTTTATTTTGTCATCAGGAAATGTTGAATTATACCAAATGCTTTTCTGCATTATTAAGATCAAGTGATTTTTCTTTAATGTATTGCAAAGAGGGCTTCACAGAAACTTTCCCCATTCTGTTAAGAGCTGACCTTCGTTTGACTCCCGTTTAGTTTACCTCATCATCGGATATCACAGTATGTCTACTATGTCGCTAGGCAAACTTGCTTGTAGTATACATGAGCCCTGATTGGTAAATTGCTTTGGATTGTGAGGAACTCATAATTGAACTATAAATACCTGATGGGGAGCCACAGCTTTGGCTCTTCCTGAGTGTGTAACTCTTATAATGAGGGATGTCATATATGAGGAATCTGGAAGCTATGCCTATGGAGTTAATACAAAAGATCCTGGTTTCCAAGGAGATGTGAACTTTAAGTTGGAATGTCTGCACCCACCTGACATGAATGGAATCTCCTGGCATCTGAGACATTATCTAGGAAGGCCAAAGAAAGCAGCTCACGGATGGCTGTGTGCACTGCTGCCTGCTGCTACTTCTCCTACAGTAGAAAGTCTGGCCCTATCCAGTCAAGCTTTGGTCCTTGTGCTACTGTTTTCTGGGGATAATAGTAGTGAAAGCAGCCTAGGGTGCTCATGAGCCTGAATGTTTAGTTGCACCTCAGACCCCCTGACATTGCAGATCTATTAATGCAGTGAAGTATGCACATTGATTTCCTGATGTTAAATCAATCATGCATTTCTGGGATAAATCCAACTTGATCATGACCTAGTTTGTTTGTTGGGTTTTGTCTGATAATTATTTTGTTTTTGCACCTGTGTTCATGAATGAATTCAGACTAGATCCTATGTTTGCTAAAGTTTTGGTATTGAGATTACACTCATCTCATAAAAAGAATAGCCGAATGTGACTTCTTTATTTATACTCTGGAATACTATGTGTTAGATTGGCAGTGTTTGTCCCTTAGATAATTGGGAGATCTTCCAAGTCAAACTATCTGGACCTGGCCTTTTATTTGAAGAAAGAGTTGTAATTACTGTTTGAATTTCGTTAATGGTTGTAGGACTATTTAGGAATCCTGTTTCTACTCGAGTCTGAGTTGCAGTTTGGCCACTTCATCTAAGTTTTCAAATCTATTTATGAAAAGTGGTTCATAAGGTCCTTTTATTAAGGTCCTTTTATTTTTAAGATTCTATGACAACAAGAGTAACTTTTATTCCCAAATTGTTTTCTTGGTTTTTTTTTTTTTAACTTCATGCTTAGTCTCCAAAGACAAGATGCTTTAACCACTGAGCCACCCAGGCATCCCTATAATTTCCTTTTGATCATAAGTTATTTAAAAGCACATTTCTCAATTCCTACCATCAGGGGTTTTTTGTTTGTTTGGTTTTTGTTTTTTTGTTGGTAAGGATTTTATTTATTTGAGAGAAAGAGAGCATGTATATGTGCGGGGTGGGGTGGGGGGAGGAAGAGGGAGAAGTAGGCTCCCCACTGAGCAGAGAGCCCAATACGGAGCTGGATCCCAGGACCCTGAGATCATGACCTGAGCTGCAGGCAGGCGCTTAACCAGCTGAGCCACCCAGACACCCCATCCAGCTGAAACACCCCATTTTTTTTACTGTTATTTACTTCTTAATTTCTAACTACTCATTGTTATTGGAGAAGGATTTCCATAGGATACTAGTGCTTTGAAATTTGTTGAAATTTGTTTGATGGTACAGTAAGTGGGGAAGTTTTGTGATTGTTCCATATTGAGATTAAAAATGTGCTTTTGGTTTTGTTCCATACTTATCCATCAGGTAAATCTAGTCAACTGTGTGGTTCAAATCTTCAATCTTTATTGGTCTTTCTTTTAAATCTGCCAATTCCTGAGATAAATATGTTTAAATCTCCCACTATGATGATAAACTTAATTTCCATTTATACTATGCCAGATTTAGTTACGTATTTTGAAGGACATTAGAAGCTGAATGCAAATTTTAGAATTATTATTATCTGTTAATTCTCTTCATCTTGAGTAATGCCTGGAAGTCTGTTTTTTTCCCCAATATTAATAAGGCCACATCAGTTTTGTTTTGGTTAGTATTTGCCTGGTATGTTTATCTTTTTCTATCCTTTCCCTCTCAGGTTTTCTGTGTCCTTATGTTTTAGATGTCTCTTTTAAATCACATATAGTTAAATTTTGTTTTTCTAATCCAGTCTGATAATTTTTGAGTTTTAACTCAGGTATGTAGTGACATATATTGAAATTATTGATACATATGGATTTTTATCAAATTTTGTGATAATTTCCCTGATTTCACTTTAATTTCTCACCTTTTGTTCTGCTATTTTTAAAATTTCAGACTATATTCTTTTATAGGTACCCTAGATATTTTAATGTAAAGGCGTAAGTTATCAGTATTCTAAATTAATATTTTTATCCTTCCCTCTCTCAATATAAGGGCCTTTGAATACTTAGGACAAGCTCCTCCCCCTCCCACCTTCTTCAAGTGATTTCTACTTGAATTTTTGTTTTTCGCAGATTTGTTTGCACTTACATAGATATGTCCAGTAGTTTCTGCTTATTATTACTTAACTCACATTAGAACTACTAATCTGCAGCTGTTTTATTTAATTAATTAATTTGAGAGAGAACTCAAGAGAGTAAGGGGGGAGGGACAGGGAAGAGGGAGAGAGAATCCCAAGCAGAGCCCATGCTGAGTGCGGAGCCTGACTTGGGACTTAATCTCAGGACCCTGAGATAATGACCTCAGCCGAAACCAAGAGTCCCATGCTCAATTGACTGCACTATACAGGTGCCCCTGTAGCTGTCTTAGTTTAAGGCTTTTCTTTAAAGAAGGTTTTTGTTATTAGTTTATTTCACTAAAGCAGTCCAGAAGATATAATGGGAGCCTGACAGCACTTTTGTACAGAAAGATAAAAAGAAGGTAAATTTCTTTAAGATTAACCTTCTTCTTTTTTTTTTTTTTTAAAGATTCTATTTATTCATGAGAGACACAAAGAGAGAGAGAGAGAGAGAGAGAGAAAGGCAGAGACATAGGCAGAGGGAGAAGCAGGCTCCATGCAGGGAGCCGACATAGGGCTCGATCCGGGGACTCTGGGACCACGCCCTGAGCCGAAGGCAAACCCTCAACCACTGAGCCACCCGGGCATTCCTAAGATTAACCTTTGAGTAAATAAGTAATATACTAGAATTTAAAATTTGAGAACTTTGCAAGATTCAGGTATTTTTGTTATAGGAATTGAGTTCAAAGGATAAATATTAAGCTAGCAGGACCCCTGGAAACACATAAGAGAGCCTGAAAATGTTTTATGATATATTAATATAGTCACCCATTTGTTCATTATGTGTTTGATTCCCCAAGTACAAGTACTAAAAACAAAAACAAAACTTAGGCAATTATACTGTAAAAAAAAATTTTTTTTAAGAAGAAATAATTTCTAAAAGAGAAGTAATTCCCAGAAGTCATCTAGTCTAACTCCTTCAATTTATGACTAAAGAAACTCAAGTTCAGTCAAAATAAAAATGATTTATTAAACAAGAAAGAAATTAAGAAATGGTTATTGGACAAAAAAGAGCAGTATCGGTATTCAGCTTACCTCTGTTTTGAATAATTGAATTAAAAGACAAACTGGTGCCATATGTTATCAACCACTAATTCACTCAATAGTTCAAAGTCTTGTGTCAGCGATGTCAATGGTATAAATAGTTTGGATTACTTTTCCCAATTTTAACCTCCATTGTGACTCTGGCACCCGCCCAGAAACCAATGGAAGTCTTTCTGCTGGTAATGCAGGAGGCTGATGGCAGCAAGCATGCTGCCTCTAATGCACCAATTAGAGGAGGAGAATACAATGATTTTTTTTTTAAAGTAATCTACACACCACACAGGTGTGGCTCAAACTCATTTCCCCAAGATCAAGAGTCACTGAGCAGCCAGGTGCCCCAAAATACTAAAATCTTTGGTAATCACTCCAAAGTCTCATAACATGTATTCTTGAAAGGGACTCACTTGGTTAGAATCAATCTGGATTCCATAGTTATATCCTGACTGGGCACAGCTGTGAAGTCCAGATGGTTCTGAGGGCCTTTCTAAAAGGTGGCACTGGCCAGTGAAGCCAACCACCAACTTCTGTAGTTGATCCTCTTTGTCAGCCGGTGAATTATCTGGGACTGATGGGCAGCCCAGTGGGAGAGGTTAGGAAGGATTCCCAACCCCAGCACCGGCCCACACTCATTGTTTGCTTAGGCTCGCTCAGCTGCCAAAACAGAGGCATTCTTCCTCTTGAAATTTTTTTTTCCTCTTGAATGTCCAGTCACTTCTAGGGCCGGGAGTACTGCTTTTACCCAAAAGATTATTTTTCTTATTTCTAAAACTTCAGTTCTACCATGAGATATCTTGTGATCCAAGCCTCTGTTCATCCCTGATGCCCTTGCTACTCTCAGAGGGCGATGGTGGGTCCCTCTTGCACAGCTCCTGGCCGGCAACCTCCTACAGGCTAGCCCCCCCTGTGTCGGGTACAGCTGCCTGTTCAACAGCGGTGTGCAAAGGAGGGGCGTTCTTTCACCGCTCTTCCCCTCCTGAGCGAAAACAGATTTCTCAAAGGCAACTGCAGAAAGCATCCTACCTGACGCACCCTGATCCAGGTAACTGGGGATGAACAGGACAGAGGCATCCAGATTCACTTCTAATTTTTCAAGTCCTGTAAAATGACCAATTAGGATTTGGGCTGCAAAGGAAAACAAAAACCAAACGCTGCCAAGTCGAGATAAGAGGGCCTCTTCTAGTGGCAGTGAGGGACTGGGTGGCAGTCAGGACTTCGGAGCTTAATTGTCAGCTCTGTCTCTTGGGAGATGTGTTTTCTCGACAAGTCTCTGAATATATCTGAGCTTCAATTTCTGTTACAAAATAAAGGAGTTGAACTAGATTCCGAGGGACGCCATTCTGACTCTGACATTCTCTGGTTCTACAGAGAATCATAGTCTACTTACATTACGGGATCCACTTAGTCCCTGAAGTTCTTTGGAATGCTCTCTCAGCAAAGTGCAAATTGATACCAAACCGCTACGTAAAAAGCAGGGAATATTCCTTTTACAGTGTCTCATCTTCTATAAAAGCAAGTTAACTGGCTGTTATCTAATCATTTAAAAATATTTTATTAAAGCATGGACTTAAAAAAATGCAAGAGAAGACTGTAATACCCCAGAGCAAACGCTGGAAGGTAAAACAAATATCACTATAAATATTGCACTTATAAAATCTCTTTTTTACATCTTCACACAACTTGTCTCTAAAATACCCTTTCAGAGATGTATGAATAAACTGCTTCCAAACTGCCAACGCTCGATACATTCCGTCTCCTGTGGCCGTACCAAGCTTGCAGGCTCTCAATCACCTGTCTGCTCCTCTCCGCGCAGCCCCGGAACTTCCATCAGCGAGAGCCGAGCTCTCGTACCTACATCGTGTGAAGAGTAAATCTCTCTGAATGCTCAAGATTTGATATTGTAAGATTTGGTTTTTTTTTTTCTACTGAGAAAAATAGAAATCTTTCAAAGGCAATGACAGAAGGCAGCTTATATTGACACAGTTCACTGTTAACATTGCTTGTTTTTCAAGGCATCCAGGAGCTTCTGATTCTTGGTCTTGAACATCATGATAAAGCTGTTTGGCATGATTTTGCCTCGCCCATCTTCACCCACTTGGCCCATAATAATGTAATTCAGACCTAAGAAAAAAGAACATGAGTTAACTTTCTTCTCTGTGTGTATTGTTTGATACAACATAGACAATAACCCACCTCTAGATAAATGATCCATAAGTGGTATCATTATACATTTAGTCTGTCCAGGATAAAATCCGGTGTAAGCTTCTCATCAGAAAAAATCTAAATTCATGTAAGTAACATGTTCCAGCCCCGCCAACTCGAGGAAGATGGACGAATGATGAGATCCGATGATGCCCTGCTCTGCAGTGCCGCGGGCCTGGCGTATTAACTGCGTGTCTGCGGGGCAGGAGGCACTGTGTTCATGTGGAAGGCTGTCCTTCCTTCCTCGAGGGGCCTCCATGCTCCCTGACACACCATCCTCAGATGGGCCCTCACGGTCCCATAATGCTTCCGGATTTTTCCCAGGCGTTTGGCAACTAATGATCCACTGTCTTCGGTTGCTGTAGTTGACTTGAACATTTTTCAACATCTCAAGCATTTATACCACAAAAGTTTCTTGAGGACATGGTTGCGTCATGTATTCCTTTACATTCTCAGTTTCCTTGCAAAAAGTAGGTCCTAAAAAGTATTTCTATCAGATATACAGTTTTTTGTAAACAGTGAGTATGGGCTAAGTTGGGCCTAGATTGGGAGCTAAGCTGAGGTATGTTGGGTTCAAATCTGAGGACTTACACGGCCTGAGAACAATGTCATAAAGGAAGTGCGTATTACCACCTCCTGTATTCTCCCTCCTTCCTGTGGTCATAGGAGAAATATGTGCGTCCTTTCGCTCTGGCATAGTCCTTCCTCTGTGGGCTAACATTGTCCTCACAGTGATCTTGAGCCTGCACAAACTTAGAGGGCTGTGCAAGTGCACATCTTCTCAAGGCTGGACGCTGGCATCGTGATGACACCCTACAGTAAGTAACTACATGCATTACTAGCCGCTCCTGGCAGTTCTGGGGAGAACTGTGATCTTTTACAGAGCCTTTGCTATTCCCTCTGAAGATTCAACGTGAAGCTGCTAGCCTCCAGACTTTTCTGAACAATCTGAATTCATAGTAAGGCTTTCTTGAAATGAATATTCTCTGCCTCTCTCTCTCTCTTTGAGGTGTGTGTGTGTGTGTTGGTTTGGTTGTGGGAGATGTCTGTAGCAAGACTGAGGAAAGGACTGCATGGAGACGGGATAGAGAAATCATGGTATATCACACAGTGGAATACCAGGCACTGTTACCATTCCAAAGAGAGAGATCTATACTTGCTGCTTATGCGACGATGTCTACACACGCATCACGTGGGGAAAATTGTAGTAGAATATGTATAGCACGATCTCATTTGTCTAAGGGTGTATGTGTGTGCTTTCTATAGACAGAAACTTTCTAGAAGGAACTTTTCATGGTACCTCTGTGGAAAGGGAAAGAGCTTCACTTTTTATTTTATATCCTTCTTTACTCAGAGTATAAAAAAAAAAACCACATTACATATATTACTTTTATAAGTTAAAGAACTTGTTAAAAAAAATCATGTGCCTCTGGCTCTGGACGTTTTTCCCCCTTATTTAAACTTCATTTTTCCATAATTTCCCTTAAACTGATTTCCATATGTGGATTTAATGATTCTTTATCTGCAAATGATTCCCCAATAGATATCTCTCTTTTCTGAATTTCAGCTCTGAATTTCCTGTTCCTTGCGAGATATTTTCCTCTAAAATTGTACTGGCACCTGACATGTGGTAACTGACCGTCTCTCTCTCCCCAGACCTGCTCTTTCTGTGTCTCTTCCCCACCGGTGCAGCTGCAAATGCTTCCTGGACTCATTCAGCATTTCCACCATCTCATCTTCGGCCACAAGTTACAAGAACTGGGTCGAGAGCCCAATTCAGCCCGACTCCAAAGGCCTTCCTTTCTGCACCATAAGTGGGCAACAGATTAACCTTGATTTTACTTCCCTTGCCTAGCCAGGGCATGGAAAGATCCAGGACTTGCTGCAGCTCGCTCTCTCATTCCCTTACTTGAGCTTCCCTAGAAGGAAGACTAACGTTTTCCCTCCTCCTTACTCACCTCTTCTGAGGAGCGGGCACTGCTTGCAGACCACGATGACCTTGGCACTCATGTTCTTGCCAGCCTGCTGAATTGCCAAATTTCCCTCTTTATAGATGTTGATGATAGAGACTGTGGCATGCAAACTCCCACCTCGGGTGACAGTTGTGATCACAGTGCCAGCCAACACTGCAGAAGAAAACATTTGGAAATAATATGACAGGGAAGGCAAATGTCAGCAGAACTGAAAATAATTTGACATTCTTCTAAGTTTCAGATAGGGAACATTTTAATGTTCAAGAGAAGGCCCTAACAGAGCTGCCGGGTTTGACTGTGCACATCTGTCACCAAAATTCAGGTTGAAAGAGGCCATGGAGCCATAACGCTACCCAGGTTGTTAGGTGTTGATGCCTAGGACAGAAACCTAAATGTCTGCTGCCCTGCAGTCTGTTGCGGAGGTGGGGACTCTAAAATGTTTTATCCAACATGGGGGGTCATTTACCAAGTAAGCTTATGAGCCTCTCGCTATGATCACTCAAGAAGACCTTGAGTCTTTAGAGACAACACCCTACTAAGAGGTTGCATGATAGGGGTTTGAGCCATGAAGAGAGGAGTCTTGGCGTCTGTGTGGTTGAGTGCCTACCCTTCTGTGTCTTCCCCCTTCTCTTTAGCCGTCCTCTCTCCTTCAACTTTGGTTCATCCCAGGGTCCCCATTTCTAATTGTCAGTAAGTATCTGCGTTTTTCTGGGTCTTATCCATCTTGTATATCTCATTTAACAAAGTATAGAACAGGTATAACAAAACATTTTCTTGCTTTTAAAAAAACAAACCAAAAAACCCTAGCAAAATTCAGTTACTTTTCATTATGTAACCCTCTCTTTCTACCACTGTGATATAAGAGGAAAGAGTCTCCCTTTGGAACCACTGAAGGAAAGATGATGTTTCTCAAAGACATGCTTTTGCCATTTTGTGGGTGACAGTTTCGTGCTGTGTGGGATGTACATTGGGAGACTGTTCTAGGAGTCCTGTTCCTGCCCAGAAAAACCAGTAGCACAACCAGAACGCTGTTCCTAGAGGAGTGTTCCCAAAGCAGGCTGAGAACCAATGGGCCACCAGTGGTAGTATTTGGTCATATTACCATGTAAGAGAGTCACACTGGAATAAATTACGTTTTGAACTTGGCTGACATGACCCTTTCAGGATAAAGTGAAAAGTCACTGCTCATGCAGCGTGCAAAATTCATAAAACAATTCTTATCATGCCTTGGTGATACGTGTTCACTGCAAAATGTTGGTCTACAGCCCAAGTGAAAGCAGGTGGCTCCAAAGGACGTGGAGGAAGAGTTCCTTAAGCACCTCCCACAGAAGACTACCCTGGATGGGAGAACAACCTGTTTTCATTTTTATGCCTGTTCTTTGAATTTCAGCCTGCAAACTCCAGTAGGATTTAGGGTCCTAGATTCGTCAGTGCCTTTATGTCTTTGCTACAACACAGTCTGTCCGGCTGCAGAGAGTTACCACTTCCAGGCACAGAAAACAGAAAAAGCAAGCAAAACCTCTTCTCAGAGATCCTTCATTTTAGGTAACCTTATTTAGGTTTTAGCAACTTGCTTTTCCTGGCAAGACTTTTCTCCAATGTCCCTTTTGAAAATAACTCACATAATTAAATTGGGTATCTCTTGCTCTTAAGGGATTTTTACAGAAAGTGCATTTTTTTTTAAAATTAGAAAAAGCTCTTAGAAATTCTAAGTCATTCTATAGTATCTATCTCCTCAGGTTCCAATTTATAAGCATTTCTAAATAGATTTCAGGTTCCCAAGTTTTAATTTAGTACTTTGAAGGGACATTACAGAGGAAATACTTGGATTCTTTTGAGAAAGGCCAGCTTGCATATGTTTCTAATTTACTTAAGTGGAATTACAGATGTGTGAAAAAATACTCAAGACATGAAAAATATGTGAGAAAACGTGTACAGGGTTTTTTTTAGGAACACTGAGCCAGCCAGCACACACAGAGTAGCAGTATCATACTCCAGGAGTCAAATTATTAAGTTTATGTGAAAAAAGCATATTTTCTGTGTATATGTGAATCTCAGTTGAACAGGACTAGTCAACATACCTTAGTGCATAGGAAAATCTTTTCTTGGGTAAATAAAGAGTGTAACTGACACTTTACCATCACATTCATGGCAGTTCCTTTTGAAATGAAGCATGCAGTCTCAAGTTTCTGATTAAAGAGAAAAGGCTGGGTTTTATTTCTTACCAAAGTTACTTGAACAATAATTGCTCTCCAGAGTCCCCGTCCGTCTACACTTTTGTTGACACAGGGACACAGTGGGTTTTAAACCTAAATTCAAAGAAGACAGAAGATTCAGGAAAATTAATTCAAATATAATTGGTGTTTAGACCTGAATCTATCCATTTAAAATTACTATTTCCCTGAGCCACCAAACTGTCATTGCAATGAAATAATTAGAAAACACTCAAAAGAAATTCCTTACACTACTGCTCTAATTTCCTCAGGGTAACTCAGTACTCTGCTGAATTTTAAACCTGAGATCAAAGATAACCCAAATTTAGCCCTATTCTTTTCTTCCTTTATTTATAACTAACACTAACCAAAAATAGATATAGCCTCCATGTGCCCTGCTTAGAAAAACCCAGTACGACAAATATGAACTCAGAAAATCTAGGCTAATTCTTCACTTTATAAAAGGGATCCAATGGTGTTTCCCTGAGGATAGAGGGAGCTTTCTTGGTGCACTTAAAATATGCAGCTGCCCAAATGTGTGTAGTTAAATTTGCAGAAACACTGCTCGTGTGTAAAGAGTGTTATACCTGTAATTAGATGTAGCCAATCACTAAACATTTATTTTGAGCTGCCACTGCCAATAAGGATCTTGGAACTGAGAGGTTGACTAATTTAAAAATAAAACTAAATAGATAAACACAGTGGTTCTCCAGCAGAGGTGATTTTTTTCCCCTGTATTGACATTTTGCAATGTCTTGAAATATTTTTGGCTGTCACAACTAGTGACTGCTCCTGGGATCTAGTGGGTAGAAACCAGGGATGCTGCTAATAAACATCCTACAAGAAACACCTCCCAACAGTAAAGAATTATCTGGCCCAAAATGTAAATACTGCCAGGGTTGAGAAACTGGGTTGACAAAATGAAAATATTTAATTTCCATGATCATCAATAAAAATAGTCCCAAAATATTTGCTAATCATTCACTTCTATGTGGCAATATGCTAGGAAGAACTAAACATAACAACTGTAACAGAATTGTACTTGTTGGGCAAGAATTTGCAATTTTAACATTGCCCTTCCAATAACATGTTCTGTAAACTCTTCTGTGTATTTATTTACTCTTAATTTGTACCCACACTTAATTCCAAAAAGGATCTCAAGTGGATCACAGTGTTAAAACATGTACAATTTAATGTTAAAAACATACAGTAGCATCTCTGTGTATTTTTTTTTTTAAGACCAAGAGCTCGGAGAACATTTAGAGGGAACATTGCTCCAGAAGTTGGGGGCTTAAATTTACCTAATTAACTGAGTCAAAAAAGTAGTGGCGTTAGTGGCTCTCCCTGTCTGATGAAAGAGCATCCTTTCTGTGGCCACTGGAAACCAGCTCTTCTCAGCCCCAGAACATCAGTCTAGAGCATCAGTCTGCTCCTTCTCTCTCTCCCGTAGGTCCCTGCTCTCTTGCCTTTAAGTCATCTCTAGAGCACCTGGACCCTTTTCACCTCACTGTCTCCTCTCTCTCTGCACTCCCTGCGTGGCACCTCAGCCTTCCTTCCAGGTGTACCTGCCATCATCTCGGGGGGGTCCCCCCTCCTCTCAGTGCCGTGGCTCCCTCCTTCCCAGACCTTCCCTCTGCTCTGTGTCCATCACCCAGTTCCAGGCTCCCATGTCCTCCTGCTAGTCTTTCATCACCAAGCTCTCAAATTTAGACATCCTAACATCCAATGTAGCTGCCTCTCCTTCAAGTTCTTATCTTTTCACTCTCCTTTGCCAGTATATCCTCCTTTTTAAAAAGTTGAGAGTTTCTAGAGATTGAATTCTAGCACTGCTCCTTTCACTCCTAACCTCTCCTTAGGTGACCTCATTCTGGATCACAGTGTCAACCATGTATTGTTGATGATTCTCAAATGTAAATCTCTTGCTGAAGTTTCTGGAGGAGGCCAAAGATGGAACTGGAGATGATTACTCCATTTGAGTATCTCACAGAAACTTCAGACCCAACAAGCCACAGCTTAACTGATGACTCAACCCCTGAACCCTGTTCTCTGCCTCAGTAATGGTCTCATTATCTCTGGAATTGTGCAAGCCAGAGAATTGGCTTTCTTGACACCTCCCTGATCTCCCTCGTCCAATTAATCACCAACTAAAGACCTGTCAATTCTCCCAAGACCCCTGGCTTGCACAACAGTCAGCGTTTCCTGACTCTCTCTGTATTTCTGTCATAGCACAGTTCACCTAGACAACCACAAAAACCTGTGACCACTTGACCCTAGAATTCATTCACCTCACAGTGACCAGAGTGATCTTCATGAAGTGAGAATCTAATCCTGATCTTTGCCTAAATCATCAACTGTTTCCACCACACTCAGGATAAAATCCAAAGTACTTAGAAGCATAAGGAGAAAGGTGGTAGGACCTAAAGATGGATCTAGAAAAAAAGGCTACATAAAACATGTGAAGGGTCTTATATATGGCATGAAGGAGTTTGGCTCCTGCGCTGTCCAATATGATAGCCACTAGCCACATGAGGCTTCTTACAGTTAACTAAATTCAAATTCAAATTCCACACACATTTCAAGTGTTCAGTAGTGGCTATGGTGTTGTATAGCACAGGTGCAGACAATGAATTCAAGTGGGAGACATGGTCTGCTTTGTGTGTGTGGTGGAGGGCATGCAGTGGGGAGTTAAGACAGAGGACCTCAAAGATGGTCTAAGTGTGGCTACTAATGCAGCTCATGCCTGGGAAAACAGTGGAGGGGCAGCCCCGATGGCCCAGAGCTTTGGCACCGCGTTCAGCCTGGGGTGTGATCCTGGAGACCCAGGATCGAGTCCCAGTCAGGCTCCCTGCATGGAGCCTGCTTCTCCCTCTGACTGTGTCTCTGCCTCTCTCTCTCTCTCTCTCTCTCTCTCTCTCTCTCCCCCTCTCTCTCTGTGTCTATCATGAATAAATAAAATCTTAAAAAAAAAAACAGTGGAGAAGCAGAGTTAAGGCAGAAAATAGTATAATAGAAAAGTTGAGTTTGATATGTTTTAATTTAAATGGTTAGCAGTCACAAGACCCTAAGAAATAATTATAAATCGATGTTTGCAACTTCAGGGAAAGGTTAGGACTAGAGATAAAAAAAAAAAATCTAGGGAGCTAGTTAATTCACTGGAAAGAATAAGGACATCTGGGTCCACTGACATGAGCTGGAGAAATAAATACTGCTTTAATGTAAGGTGGTACATGTCTAGGCCACAAGGTGGCACACTTGTGGAGTGCTCAGAAAAATCCGCCCTTCCAGAAGTGCCTGTGCTCAGGTCAGCCTTACTTTCAGTGCAAGCAGAAAATGGTGGGCGATAAAGCTGGGCTGGGGACGCCTCGGTGGCTCAGAGGTTGAGCATCTGCCTTTGGCTCAGGTTGTGATCCGGGGATCCTGGGATCAAGTCCCATGTCGGGTTCCATATAGGGAGCCTGCTTCTCCCTCTGCCTGTGTCTCTACCTCTCTCTGTGTCTGCTACGAATAAATAAATATTTCTAAAAATAAAAAAAAACCTGGCATATGTGAAAATAGGTATCAAGGCCCTAGAACTTTAATCTAAACTACTACAATTCCATAGAATAAAAAAGAAAGCAATAATATTATAAGTACCAGAAAAGAAAATTGGGCTTATAATGATCTGTGCCTATAACAGGGTTCCTAGTATTTTAAGTGGCCATAATGTTCTTAGATGACATTTAAAAATCATTAGCTTATAAACATTGTTATACCTTATACTTTTCTTTCATTAATAGAGGCATATTATTCTCTTAGATAAGTTTTCATTTTATCTTATTTTAGTTTCAAGTATCTTTAATTATTTTTTTCTACCCCAAAAGAATTTTTCTTATACTCCTAAAGTTTGTGCACAAACATCAAAACAGAAAAACTTACCTGTAGTTACAGGGAACGTGGTGGTAACAGGTGGTACTGTAGTTGTAGGCAATTTTTTTGGCCTGAATTTGTAATGACCAATAAATCCATCTGCAGTTAAACTTAAGTCTGATAAAAACTGAATGAGAAGTTCATTTCTCTCAGATACAATTGGTCTAAAAGAAGAAAAACATTAAAAAAATTTTTTAAGTGGCACCTCTCTGAAATGTAGAATTCTAGCATTCCATTGGTTTTTGACAGATTATATGTGTAAACTTAAAAGTTAAAATACCTCAAAAGGCAAAAGTCTCAATCTGCTCAGTATTAATGCTACTAGCTAATGTTTACTGAGTGTTTGCTCAGTTCGGCACCGTGCTTTATGCAAACTCTCAAATTCCACTATACAGCAACCCTATTATTATCCCTTTCTTACAGAAAAGGCAACTGAAGTTCAGAGAGTTCAAGTGATTTGCCCAAGGCCCTACAGCTAGTAGAATGTGGGGGAGCAAGATTTGAACCCAGGACCGGTTGGCATTGGAACCAGTGGAAACCACAGAAACTGTGGCTGGTTCTTCACCAGCACCTTAGGGTTTGGCCTGCCCTGGGAACCACACTGCTTCTTTTGACTAAGACTCTGGCCCAGGGAGCTAAGGATGCTGGCCATACGGAGTCAGATGGAGAAATGTGATGAGCGAATTCCCACGCCCTGTGAAGATTCAGCCACAGGGGTGAATCTCAGTGGGCTAGTCACCAGGGCATAAGAAAGCCATGACTTCCATTTCATTTATAATGAGAGCTGGGATGCACGCCTGAAATGGAAGCATTTCTGTTTATAATCTCAGTAGCAGAATGCTGTGAAGGAGAAAAAGAAAGTGATTGCTTTGGTGGTTATGAATGACACCATTAAGAACTCTAATTTTAAGGCTATTTTAGGGGCTTGCTGGTTAGCTGGCACTGAAGATTTTTTTTCTTTTTTTTAATTTTTATTTATTTATGATAGTCACACAGAGAGAGAGAGAGATGCAGAGACACAGGCAGAGGGAGAAGCAGGCTCCATGCACCGGGAGCCCGACGTGGGATTCGATCCCGGGTCTCCAGGATCGTGCCCTGGGCCAAAGGCAGGCGCCAAACCGCTGCGCCACCCAGGGATCCCCTGGCACTGAAGATTTAATAGTGACAATAACTGAGGCTCAGAAACACTCATAAGTCTTTTTTTTTTTTTTTTTTTTTGACAGAGAGAGAAAGAGTGAGCACAAGTAGGGGGAGTGACAGGCAGAGGGAGAGGGAGAAGCAGGCTCCCAGCTGAACAGGGAGCCTGATGTAGGACTTGATCCCAGGACCCTGAGATCATGACCTGAGCCAAAGGCAGATGCTTAACCCACTGAGCCACCCAGGCACCCCAGCACTTTTAAGTCTTAGGGGATAACTGTATTACACAAAATAGTTTCATTTGAGCTTTTTCTATTACTATTTAAGCAATGGTTAAAAATGCAGTTTGGCTAATTCTATTTAAAGACTAATTCAGAAGCAGTAAAAAACCTAAAGTTTAAAAAAAATAAACATTGAGGTAATCCGTGGTTTAACTAAACTTTTTTTTTTGAGGCATCTTCTCAGCCGAACCACTTCTTAGGCATCATGGGCAGCAAAAAATGAGGCAACCTAACTTCTTCCTCCACCCATCAGCTACTTTGAGTGGGAATGTCTGCAGGCAGGGGTGAAGGGGGTGGGAGGAGAGGTAGATCCGTACTTGACCAAAGCAGTTAGAAAAACGGCAGGACCTTTTTCTGTCCTGAAGGCTATTACCTTCTAAGCCAAGGGATGGGACAAACCTAAGAGTCAGCTTCGTGACCTACATCTAGCATCCTGGTCATAAAAGTGATCGAAATAATTGAAATAATGCTTCTGAGAATTAAGCCTTTACCAGAAATAGTCGGCTTGCTTTTGAAAACAAAAGCTTTTGTTCCATTAAATAAATAAAAGCAATGTGCATGGAACACAATTCCCAACTACAATCACAAATAAAATATGTTAAACTTGTTTAAGTGATAAAATCACAAAGAGCACTTCTAAGCAGCGAAGGAAACCTCAAGACCTAATCAGGTCGGCCTTCTGGGCATGGTGCTATAATTACAGTGATCGTCTATGCCTTTCTATGAACTGATCCCGGGAGCATTAAGTTAGAAACTGAATTTTCTGAAGAAGGAGTATTTCAGTAGCAAAGACCTATTTTTGCTGCTGCTCCTGAGCTTTAGCATGAATGTGACGGAATCACGGTGCCATAAATGTCCTGAGGGCCACGTGTTGCATCTGCAAATTAATGTTACAAATCACTAGAAAGGCAAGAGGAAATCGCGCTTGGATTCATTCCCTACCGGCAGATCCCGGGAAGGGATGGAGGATGCCATTTGGTCCTAGAGAGATAAGCTAGCCCTGCCAGCCATGCCTCCCCTTCAATCACTACAGCCAGTCAACCCCCACGCCTGCCAATCTTGCCTTCTGAGTATTTCTTGACCCACAGCCTCCTCTCCATCTCTACCACCCTTCTCTACCTCTTCCATTTCCCTGGACCCCCTGTCACAACCTTCTAACCCGCCTCTCTGCTCATCTTGTCAAGGACGGGAGTTCTAAGGCTCTGGCGCCCTCAATTCCTGCCTACGTGCACCTAAAAGCTCCCATGTCTGCAGGACGTGGAACCCTGCTCAGCACTCCTGCCTCATCTCTCTCTTCCGGTCAAATAAATAAATACACCCCCCCCCAAAAAAAAAAGAAGCACAGTCTTCTTCAACAAATCTCTCCTGACCTCTTCACCACCTGTCCCAACTGGACCAAAGGATTCCTTGTCAGGAACTCACCAGGACATTCCTTTGCCAATTTACCCATCTGTTTCACCCGTCCCACTACTTATCTTCGTGTTTTTTATTTATCTCTGTGTCCTGCTACCTAACAGTGCCCACCACATGGCTGGAGTTAAATAAATGTTTTTGAACTGAACTCAATGCTATGGCTATAACTGCACTGACCCAGACACAGGGATGATGAGGTGATCTCACCAACCACAGCACTCCTCCTTCTAGTCAGACTTTTAACAGGGGAAAAGCCCCCTAAATAAGTTTTCTCATTTTCTGCACTGCCCCATGCCAGGAGTACTCTATGAGAAAATATTCCCCTAGTGAAAGTGTTAGTAGGTTGGCTGTCAAACTACTCCAGGCAAACTCCTCAGAAGTGAGTGGTTCAAAACAGCCCCCATCACACCTCCCCCCCTCCCGGCCTCCATGGAGGCAACCACTATCCTGAATTTTGTGTTTATCCTTCCCTTTACCTATAGTTTTACCAATATATGTATCACCAAGCAAAAGACTGTATAGGTTTGCATGCTTTTATATGTCATATGGGGGCACCTGGGTGGCTCAGTGGGTTAAACATCTGTCTTCGGCTCAGGTCATGATCTCAAGGTCCTGGGATCAAGCCCCACGTTGGGCTCCCTGCGCCTCTCCCTCTACTGCTCCCCCTGCTTGTGTTCTCAAAATAAATAAATAAAATCTTTAAACACACACACAACTTTATACAAATCAAAGGGTATGGTGTGCATTTTCTGTTATTTTTTCACACTCGACATTATAACTATGAGATTCACCCACCATTTTCACTGCTGCATTACGCGAACTATAGCATGATTTAACTATTCTCTTGTTGATAACATTAGACTATTTCCTCTGCCCTCCATTACAAACAGTATCGGTAAGAATATTCTTGTATATGTCTTGGTGCACACAGGCAAAGGTAACTTTTGAAGGCACACCAGGAGGGTAGGGTACACGCTCCATGTGAGGTCACAGGATATACGCCCATTTTCAACTTCCTTAGATAATGCCAAGTTGATTTAGAAAGTCATTGTACCAATTTACACTCTTTTCAAAGATGTATTCACTGTGCATCTTTCTTTGGGGAGTGCCTGTTCACGTCTTTTCCCCATTGAGTTGTCTTTTCCTTACTAATTTTTAGAATTTCTTGAAATTTTCTGGACCTAGGGGTCTTTGTCAAATATGTCACAAATATCTGTTTCTGTTTTGTACATTCTCTTTTCCCTCTCTTTAAAGTATATTTTGATGAGCAGAAATTCTCATTGTTTCCAATGTATCTGTAGTTGATTTTTGGATGATATGATTCATTTTCTCATATGAATAAAAATTATCCCTGCCTCATTTTTCAAAGGGGCCATTTCTCTGATGTGCCCCATCTGCAGACACATGTGGGTGGATATGTTTCTGGCCTCTCTTTGGTGTTTTCATTAGTCCATTTGTCTATCTCTGTTAAAACCATATTCTCTTAATTACAACAGCTTTATGATATGGCTCCATCATGTAAGGCAAATCCTCCTGCCAAGTTCTCCTTCAGAACTGTCTTAGTTTCACCCCCTTCCCCCACCCCCTTGCAGTTCCAGGAACATTTTAGAATCAGGCTGTCAGGTTAAATGAAAAACCAATTCTGTTATTTTTAAATGACACTGATTCTTCCTATTCATGAGAATATATAGCTCCATTTATTGAGGTCTTTTAAAATATCTTTTAGTAAGGTTTTGTAATTTTCTCTATTCAGGTCTTGCATGCAATTATTAGATTTATTCTTGAGCATTTTATATTTTTAGTTGCTATGAAAATAATATCTTTTTAAAAATACAAACTTTTTTTTTAAGTAGGCTCCATGTCTAGCATGGAGCCCAATGTGAGGCTTTAACTCATGACCCTGAGATCAAGATCTGAGCTGAGATCAAGTCAGATGCCCCCAAACTTTTTATTGAAGCTATTTAGAAAACATATTCTTGTTTAATTAATGTTCCCAACAAATAAAAATATAATCTTTAAGTCACACTCTAATCTGGGAATGTACACAATTATAGTAATAGATTTTCGGGATCCCTGGGTGGCACAGCGGTTTAGCGCCTGCCTTTGGCCCAGGGCACGATCCTGGAGACCCGGGATCGAGTCCCACGTCGGGCTTCCGGTGCATGGAGCCTGCTTCTCCCTCTGCCTGTGTCTCTGCCTCTCTCTCTCTCTCTCTGTGTGACTATCATAAATAAATAAATATATATATATATATATATATATATATATATATATATATATATATATATATAGTAATAGATTTTCTAAGATCAAACCAACCTTGAATTCCTGGTCAGAAAGTCTTTTTTTATACATTGTTAGGTTTGACTTACTAATATTTTTTCTTTTAAGATTTTTTTATCACATTCACAAGTAAGATTAGTCTTTAATATCCTTTTTTTTTTTTTTTTGGTTTTTTTTTTGGTCGTTACCTTGTTTTGGTGTCCATTTATACTAGCTTTATAAAATCAGTTGTGGAACAATCCCTATTTTTTTCTGGAAGAATGTGTGTAGTGTTAGCATCATTTGTTCCTTAAATGTTTGTTAGAACTAATGGAGAAAAACAATCTGGGGCTGTTTTTCCTCCCTTGATAGGAAGACTTTTAACCACAGATTAAGTTTCTTTAATGATTACTTGGCAACTCTAGCTTTTTATTTTTCCTGTGTCCATTTTTTCTTAAAATATATATATATATATTTTTTTTCCCCATATGTTGAATGCACTTTGTTCTCTATCCATTAGACTAAACCTGTTAATTGTTTCTCACATTTTCTACATCCCAATTTTCCATCTTTTCCCAATCGACAGTCAATCTATCAACTATTGAAAGAGAAGTGTTAAGAATCTCCTACTATAGGGGCATTTGGGTGACTCAGTGGTTGAGCATCTGCCTTTCGCTCAGAGTGTGATCCCAGGGTCCTGGGATCAAGTTCTGCATCAGGCTCCCCACAAGGACCCATTTTTCCCTCTGCCTATGTCTCTGCCTCTGTCTCTCATGTATAAATAAGTAAAATCTTAAAACAAAAAACAAAACAAAACAAAACAAAACACCAAAAAACCTCCTACTATAATAGTGGACTTTGTAGATCTATTAATTTTTATTTATCTATTTTTTGCTTTATATACATTTTCGGCACATGCAAATTTACAATTATTATGCCTTCCTGATAAATTGTATCTTTTATCATTACATGGCAACTATTTTTAGTAATGCTTTCTGCCTAAAATCTACTTTTCCCCTGATATCAATAAAGCCATACCAGTTTTCTTTCAACTAGCATTTGTTTCCAATATTTTTTTCTATCCTTTTATTCTCACATGCTCTGTGTTATTTTTATGGAGACGTGTCTTATAAATAGCATATATTGGGTTTTGTTTTATTATGCAGTTTAATACACTTTGTCTTCTCACTAATGATTTGATTCATTTGCATTTATATTGATTACACTTTGATCTAGATAAAATTTTTCCATCTCACTTTGTGCTTTTTTTTTGGTCCTGCCTTTTTTAAATGTTTCTCCTTTTCTCTTGCCTTCCTTTGGAATGAACTTTTTTCTCATTTCATGTTTTCTCCTCACTGTTTTGGAAGTTCAAGACTCCAAAGGTTGCCCTAAATTTAATCCACATTTACTTTAGCATATTATACAGCTTAATAATATGTTCATTCCTAAACAACACCAGGGCCTATGAGTCCTTCAGCTCTTAGGACCAGGATCTTTGCTCAATGTTTCCTCTTGCAGCTAGTCTCTTATTCTGTGACTTTTACCTTTCTGCCTGAGGTACAAAATGTGAAGTTTCTTTAGGGTCTATTGGTAGTAAATTCTCTCAGCTCTTGTTTAGCTGAAAAGATGTTTTAATTTCTTTTATACATAAATCAGAGGTTTTCCTGAGTAATAATTCTAAAATGACAGTTATTTTGTCTCCTATTTTGAGGATACTCCTCTAAGATCTTCTAACTTCCATATTTACTACTGAGAAGTCATGTTAGGCTAATTGTTTTCCCTTTGTGAGAATCTTTTTCTCTCTGGTTCTTTTCAACATCTCTCTCTGTTGTCTGTGGTTTTACTACAATACATGTAGGAATGGGTATATTAATATATATGTTGCTTAGGATTTGTTGAGTTCTTGAATTTGATAAATGGTATCTTTCATTTATATTGGAAAAACTCAGCTATTACTTCTTCAAACATTAAATTTCCTACCTTCTCTATTTTTTTTCTTATGGAACTCCAATTAAATGTATATTAGATTCTTGCACTCTATCCTCTATGGCTCTTAACCTCATTTTTATATTTTCTACCTATTGTCTCTTTATGCTATATTCCAGGTGATTATGTCACAACTATTTCTCAGTTCCCTAATTCTTTCTGGGTGCTATGTCTTATCAGCTATAATTTTAACACATGTATTCAGTTTCTTGTTTAAATTATCATATATCTCAGTTCCAGAAATTTTATTAGGCTCTTTGTTAACTCTGATCATTTCTCAGCCCTTTGTTTCTAAGTCATACTTCCAATAATCTGCACCTTCATTTCATATGAATGTCCTTAACCATATTTATTTCACACTCTGTATCATAATTACTATATATGGCTTCTGTGGGTCTGATTATACTGTTTGTTTCTACTTGTTATTGGCTTTCGTGTTTTGTGAATTTTTTTTAATTGGGAACCTATATTTCTTATAACTTTATTTATAGGAATTATTAAAGTCTCTATTAGATGCAATCTTCCAGACAAGATTTGTGTTTTCTCCTCTCTATCCCTTTGGGCACTACCAACTCGGAAACTTTAAATTCTTGGTAATAGGTTTTTTGTACAGTCAGTGTAAATTCTAACCTCAAACTCACTTGTGAACTGGTTTTTGGTTAGGAATTTTCATTAGAGACTAACTTTTTATCCCTTTACCAAATGCCAACACCTAAACAGTCAATTTCTTTACTATCTCCCTTGGGGAGGGAGGAAAATTAGTTCAGTCACATTGGTGTCATTTTCTATGGGTGTCGTCTTTACATTCTATTTGATCCAATCTCATCCCTTGCTGAGGCCCTGAGCTCTGTCTCCTATCTCTAAGCATGATCTGTTGCGAATTAAGTTCTAGGTTACCAAGAACTGGCACATGTCCTGAAGGAAGCTGCCACCCACAAGTACTTATTTATCCTTTTGGATTTGGACTTCTCAACATTTTTGACCTCTGAAGATTTCTCTTATTTTTTGCCAACTGAGTAATGTTTAAACAATTTTTTAACGTAGGAATGCTATTTGGTATTTATAGCAGTATGATTTTAAAGACTATCTTATTTTCTATATTGCTAGGAAATGAAACGAAATTTTTTTTTATATTTGAATATAAAGAGAAGGAAAGACATGACAGAAAAAGACTCTTGCTAGAGTCAAGAAAGGGTTACTTTTTTTCACTCAGTTCAGGAGAAGTTAAATTTATAGGCTATGGGAAAGAAACAAAAAAAGAAGGCAGAGGCTAAAGATGGAGATAATAGAGAAAAAGAAGAGGGTTATTAGAAGGAAGTTTTAAGGGAGAAGAAGAGGTCAGAAGGAGGATATAGATGAAAAGATTGGCTCTGAATAGAGGAAGGTGTGGCAGGCTGAATGTGGCCCGCCCAAGATGTCCACATTAAAATCCCTGGAACTTATGTATATGTTACCTTATGTGCAAAGGGACTTTGCAGATGTGATTAAGTGAAGGATCTTGAGAAGGGGAGTATCCTGGATTGTCCAGGTCAGCCCTAAATGTAACCATGGGTGTCCTTAGGAGAGAGAGGTTTGACTCCAAGAAAGGAGAAGGCAATCTGATGACAGAAGCAGAGATAGGAGTGATGTGCTTTGAAGATAGAGGAGGGAACCACAGCCAAAAATTGCAGCAGCTTCTTGAAGCTAAAATAAGCATGGAAACTGATTCTCCCCTCAGAGCAACCAGAAGGAAACAGCTCTGCTGACAGCTTGACTTTAGCCCAGTGAAAGTGATTTCAGACTTCTGACCTCCAGAACTGTAAGATAATAAATGTATTATTTTAGGCCACTCGGTTTGTGGTAATTTGTTGCAGCAGCAACAGGAATAGAATACAGAAAGAACACCTTCCCCTAGAGCTTAGAAATGGGCCTTTCTCTAACACCTTCAGCTGGAGAGTCAGATTTGGGCAGTAATGTTCAAATTTTGACCAACTTGTATGTATTAAAAATTCTTAATATTATTAAACTTAATATAAATGAATTTAAATTGAAAAATACCATGCTTTAACCCCCAATGTGTCTAGGGGAATCATAGACATGCATGTAAAATCAAGTGATGCATATAATCTAATTATGTATAAGCAACAGAATAGAAATGATATTTAAATTGGCATAATGGTGACTTTGACAGCAAGCTGTAGTAATTTTTTTTAAGGTTGTTTTTTTTTTTAAGTAATCTCTAGCCCCAATGTGGGGCTCAAACTTACAACCCTGAAGTCAAGAGTTGCAAGCTCCACTGACTAAACAAGCCAGATACCCAAAGCTGTAGTAATTTGAATTACTGCTTCCCTAGTGTCATATATGAAGGTGTGAAATATCTTGCACCAAAACACAGTCATGTGTTGCACCAATACAGAATAGTGGAATTAAGCAACTTGCCCAATGTCACACAGCTAGTAAGTGGCAGAGATCTTTGCTCCATAAATGTTCGTTGATAAATACACAATGCCTTTCAGGCTCACCCAGCAAAAGTCTGAGCAACAATGTGAGGAAGAGGCACAATAGGGCAGGTCTCCAATGAGGTAAAATCATCTGGGTCTGTCATAAGTATCCAGGTTTCCCTGTCTGGATCTCCAAATTTTAGCCCCCTGCTTTTTTCTCAGAACTTCCCCCATTCCAGTCTGCTGCTTGAGCTCACCTTTGCAGGGCAGTGACATAGTCCAGTACCTGGCTAGCATCTGACTCTGGGGCATAACCAACTCCGCTTCTGTTATCTCTTTGGCTGTCGAGGCCTCACTACACTCATTAATGTTGCTTCACTCTCTGGGTTGGCTACTCTTTGTGCTGGTGCTATATGGGACTCTACTGTCATGGAACCCAAGAATTTGTGAACAAAACAACAACAGCACAGGATCTTCCAGAAAAAAAAATATAACTGGGCAATTGAATAAAAAAGAAGTATAGAGCCACTAAAATATTAATGAAATAAAACAGGCACTACTTACGCAGGTGGACTATCGCCACAATACTTTCCAATTCTTTTAGCATCATTGACTTCTCCACCATTAAACACAGCCACAAAATCATATCGGCAATAGTTATCACGCTCAACATCAAACTTCTCAAATGTTAATTCTATAAGCTTTAGAGAAAGCACAACATCAGAAATGTCAAGATAGCACTGAGGAATAATCCCAAAGGGAAATCTTCCTCTCCCCAGATCTGCAGGATTTTCCTTTGTAAAGAATATATTCATTCTGTTTGAATTATTTGTTTCTTGTTGATTTCATGTTTCTTCTGTAGTTAACAAAACTGTGGTATTCTACTGCTTTCATTTTTAATCATTCCAAAAGATCATCTCAACCTTAGTTAAGATCTTAAATTTAAGAGATCTGTTCACCTACAATTACAAATGTATGGGAACCACCATGTAACCCTACCAACCTACGTTAAGACCATAACTGATACAAGTTGGGGTGGGCAGGAGAGGTATATACCAATTTCATTCTTCTTCTTGGAGATGTCCCCTGTGTTAGTGTGTGTTGAGGTGTGGTGTATGTGTTACGTGATTGGTTGGGGAGGTGGTGGATAGAGTTGTTCCTCTTTCGAGGGAAGGAGAATGACATTCCCATCACATGTAAAGGAGGCAAATTCTTTAGGACCAGAGATTCAGGAAGTGGGGTTTTGACAGTAAGTCTTCTTGAACTATGTTTGAAAAGTGAGCACAGCCTACTTGGTGTTGTGGTTGATTTTTGAAGAGGCTGTATGAAAGCACTGATAAAGTCAGTGTTAGATTTCTTATATATTCCTTAATTTTTTGCACTACTACCAAAAACAGTGTCCTAAGTTATTCAAGTCAGTAGGAAGTTTTGATTTAATAGGCAATCATTCTCCTCACAAGTGGATTTTTCCAGAGCACCTTCAATGTGTGAATCAAAGGAAATCTTCCTAGGTTCTTAAATACACATGATACCCAGACAGCTGGTCCCCACTTTTGCTGGGCAGCAGGTGGGCAGGCAACCCTCCTTGCTGCTTAGGGAAGATAACAGGCATTACTTCCTATTAGGACAGGCCCTGGTTATTAGCTAAAGAAGACTCACATGTAGTAATCTAGATGAAGATGATAACAGCAGCAGTATCACAGAAGGACCAAAGGTAAATTTCAGCTTTGAATATAATTGCCACATAGCTACCTATTTACTCACCTTTAAAAAGCACCAGTTATGGGTGAATAATGACTTATCCATATTTAGCACTGCTTTAAATTATATTAACATATTTCCTCTTTGTGTCCAATAACTTCTCACCAGTTAGTAATAAAATGCTTTCTAGATTATTAAAAAACTGGCTAAACATTCCCTACTTAGAAATAAGTCACGTAACAACTTCTAGAGAGAAGATTTTTAAAAAAGTAAATAAATAGGAGAATAAAGGGAAAAGCTACGATTAAAAAAAAAAGAGGTAAGTCTTTAACAGAAGGAAACACGCATAGATTTGCATAGAAATTACTTAGGACTTAATTTTCCCATTATATTCTTCTTCTTTGACAGTGCTTCCAGGGATTTCAAGCACTACAACAATGATTAAAAATTCACTTGGCTGAAGCCAAAAATCACATTAGCAAAATGAAACCCCAATTTAAATAATCAAAGAGATGAACAATAGAAAAAAGATGGTGAACTGTAATCTGCAAGAATAATTCAGCTGAAATCATTTAGGCTAATACATTTACAAATGTCACAGAGAGAAAAATGGCCAGTACAATCTCAAGAAATACATAATGGCTTAAATGTTGAAAAATGTGATTTTTAAAAAAGATTGTATTTATTTATTCATGAGAGACACAGAGAGAGGCAGGGACATAGGCAGAGGAAGAAGCAGGCTCCCTGTGGGGAGCCTGCAAGACCCTGGGATCATGACCTGAGCCAAAGGCAGACACTCAACCACTGAGCCACCCAGGTGCCCCCAAATATGTGATTTTTAAGTATTATTTTAAACTATTGAAAGTTCAATAAATTTATAGAATCTTTCATCATTGAGTAAACAACCGTATTTTTATTCTTAAAAATAAAACTGGATTTGGGGATTATGATCAAAATGTGTGTGTGCGTGTGTGTGTGCGTGTGTGTGTGTGATTAAATCACTAACTTGCATGGTATTCGAGCCAGAGAAAGAGAGAGTGTGTCTGCACAGAAAATGGAGGGAGGGGCAGAGGGAGAGAAGCAGACTCCCCGCTGGCAAGTGGGGAGGACCCTGAGGATCATGATCTGAGCCAAAATCAAGAGTGAGGAGGAGGAGGGGCAAGATGGCGGAAGAGCAGGGTCCCCAAGTCACCTGTCCCCACCAAATTACCTAGATAACCTTCAAACCATCCTGAAAATCTACGAATTCGGCCTGAGATGTAAAGAGAGACCAGCTGGAACGCTACAGTGAGAAGAGTCCGCGCTTCTATCAAGGTAGGAAGACGGGGAAAAAGAAATAAAGGAACAAAAGGCCTCCGAGGGGGAGGGGCCCCGCGAGGAGCCGGGCTGAGGCCGGGGCGAGTGTCCCCAGGACAGGAGAGCCCCGTCCCGGAGGAGCAGGAGCTGCACCAACCTTCCCGGGCGGGCGGAAAGGGGCTCGCAGGGAGTTGGAGCAGGACCCAGGAGGGCGGGGATGCCCTCGGGCTCCCGGGGACACTAACAGACACCTGCGCCCCGGAGAGTGCGCCGAGCTCCCTAAGGGCTGCAGCGCGCACGGCGGGGCCGGAGCAGCTCGGAGGGGCTCGGGCGGCGGCTCCGCGGAGGGGGCTGCGGGGCGGGAGCGCGAATCCACCAGCGCAGGCCCCGGAGCACAGGGCGCCGGGACACAGCCCAGGATCCGGCCTCCCCCGGGACAGGCAGAGGCCGGGAGGGCCCAGGACAGCGAGGACGCTCCTGCCCCGAGCTGAGCAGATCAGCGGCCCCGCCCCGGAGCCTCCAGGCCCTGAGGACGGAGAACCGAGAGCCCCGAGCCCCGTAGTTCCTGCGGAGGCTGAATCCAGGCTTCCAGAGTTGCCATAGCAACTGCGGCTGTTCCTCCTGGGGCCTCACGGGGTAAACAACCCCCGCTGAGCCCTGCAGCAGGCAGGGGCAGAGCAGCTCCCCCAAGTGCTAACACCTGAAAATCAGCACAGCAGGCCCCTCCCCCAGAAGACCAGCTGGACGGACCAGTGATACTCCCCCGTGTTCCAATACAACTTGTTTTTGGCCACTCTGCACTGAGCAAAATGACTAGAAGGAAAACCTCACCTCAAAAGAAAGAATCAGAAACAGCCCTCTCTCCCACAGAGTTACAAAATCTGGATTACACTTCAATGTCAGAAAGCCAATTCAGAAGCACTATTCTACAGCTACTGGTGGCTCTAGAAAAAAGCATTAAGGACTCACGAGACTTCATGACTGCAGAATTTAGATCCAATCAGGCAGAAATTAAAAATCAATTGAATGAGATGCAATCCAAACTAGAAGTCCTAACGACGAGGGTTAACGAGGTGGAAGAACGAGTGAGTGACATAGAAGACAAGTTAATGGCAAAGAGGGAAACTGAGGAAAAAAGAGACAAACAATTAAGGGACCATGAAGACAGATTAAGGCAAATAAATGACAATCTAAGGAAGAAAAACCTACGTTTAATTGGGGTTCCCGAGGGCGCCGAAAGGGACAGAGGGCCAGAATATGTATTTGAACAAATCCTAGCTGAAAACTTTCCCAATCTGGGAAGGGAAACAGGCATTCAGATCCAGGAAATAGAGAGATCCCCCCTAAAATCAATAAAAACCGTTCAACACCTCGTCATTTAATAGTGAAGCTTGCAAATTCCAAAGATAAAGAGAAGATCCTTAAAGCAGCAAGAGACAAGAAGTCCCTGACTTTCATGGGGAGGAATATTAGGGTAACAGCAGACCTCTCCACAGAGACGTGGCAGGCCAGAAAGGGCTGGCAGGATATATTCAGGGTCCTAAATGAGAAGAACATGCAACCAAGAATACTTTATCCAGCAAGGCTCTCATTCAAAATGGAAGGAGAGATAAAGAGCTTCCAAGACAGGCAGGAACTGAAAGAATATGTGACCTCCAAACCAGCTCTGCAAGAAATTTTAAGGGGGACTCTTAAAATTCCCCTTTAAGAAGAAGTTCAGTGGAACAATCCACAAAAACAAGGACTAAATAGATATCATGATGACACTAAACTCATATCTGTCAATAGTAACTCTGAACGTGAATGGGCTTAATGACCCCATCAAAAGGCGCAGGGTTTCAGACTGGATAAAAAAGCAGGACCCATCTATTTGCTGTCTACAAGAGACTCATTTTAGACAGAAGGACACCTACAACCTGAAAATAAAAGGTTGGAGAACCATTTACCATTCAAATGGTTCTCAAAATATACCCTAAAAACTATAGAACACTTCTGAAAGAAATTGAGGAAGACACAAAGAGATGGAAAAATATTCCATGCTCATGGATTGGCAGAATTAATATTGTGAAAATGTCAATGTTACCCAGGGCAATTTACACGTATAATGCAATCCCTATCAAAATACCATGGACTTTCTTCAGAGACTTAGAACAAATTATTTTAAGATTTGTGTGGAATCAGAAAAGACCCCGAACAGCCAGGGGAATTTTAAAAAAGAAAACCATATCTGGGGGCATCACAATGCCAGATTTCAGGTTGTACTACAAAGCTGTGTTCATCAAGACAGTGTGGTACTGGCACAAAAACAGACATATAGATCAATGGAACAGAACAGAGAACCCAGAAGTGGACCCTGAACTTTATGGTCAACTAATATACGATAAAGGAGGAAAGACGATCCACTGGAAGAAAGACAGTCTCTTCAATAAATGGTGCTGGGAAAATTGGACATCCACATGCAGAAGAATGAAACTGGACCACTCTCTTGCACCATACACAAAGATAAACTCAAAATAGATGAAAGATCTAAATGTGAGACAAGATTCCATCAAAATCCCAGAGGAGAACTCAGGCAACACCCTTTTTGAACTTGGCCACAGTAACCGGAGAAGGACAAACAGTGTATGTTCTCATTCATTTGGGGAATATGAATAATAGTGAAAGGGAATATAAGGGAAGGGAGAAGAAATGTGTGAGAAATATCAGAAAGGGAGACAGAACATAAAGACTTCTAACTCTGGGAAATGAACTAGGGGTGGTGGAGGGGGAGGAGGGTGGGGGGTGGGGGTGAATGGGTGACGGGCACTGAGGGGGACACTTGACGGGATGAGCACTGGGTGTTATTCTGTATGTTGGTAAATTGAACACCAATAAAAATTAATTTATAAAAATTAAAAAAAAATTAAAAAAAAGCTTCATGAAAAAAAAAAAATCAAGAGTGAGTCGCTTAACCAACTGAGCCACTCAGGTGCCCTAGAAAAGTTTTTTTTAAACCATATTGTAATGTTCATCATCCAGTGTTTAAAGTCTGTAGTGTTCATAACAATAATAATTTTTTAAAAGTTATTTTCCAAAATCCACAAAGTGGACTTGGTCTACTCCTGTGCCAAGGTTTGTCCTACAAGCAATATTTGAAAGTGGTTCCTAGGAATGGCAAAATTTCAAATAACCACAAACTAATAAGCACTGGAAACCTGGACCTTCTCTGTTGACTGTTTCAGAACAATGAATAAAGTTATTCTGAGGGGAACCTATGCAAATTTTATGTTAAGTAACAACTGAAAAGACTTCTTCTCTGTGCCTGCATTGGCTCTGTCCAGGTGAGGCTGTCACAAAGCATTTGCTTAGTGAACAAATGGTTACCTGAAACATACATCTTACCTGGGGATTCTTACCCTCCCACACTTGGTCACTGCTGTTTATAACATCTTCCACAGGATCAAGCAATCTCACAGGGATTTCCTTACTATGCGTATTGAAATTTGAAAACTTGTATTTATATAATAGGAAATTCAATGCAAGACTTTGCAAGTCAAATAGTGCAAAAGCAATTTCAATCTGTGTCTTTGTATGAAGAGATACCTACGTCCAGCAGGGCCTGCCCCACCCTGCATGCTGAGCTATTGCACAATGGGCCCCTCACACCGTCTACGCAATTCACATACGCATGCTTTCTTCATATTTTTAGGGAATCTTACCTGATTCTTGGGGGCTACAATGTGCCACACACAAGTGACTCCTGCAGGGTAATCACGGTCTGGCCAGTTGGGGGTTTTAAAAGAGCCGGAAGGTCTTTCAAGGCGTCCTCCACAATACTGATCCCCTGAAATTTTTAAGCATGGAAAGAAAATCCAAGTTTATATCCTGATACAAGTTATGGCAATGCAACCATAAGGAGACTGGGAATTTGGAATATTGGTAATAATACAGTAAATAAAGGCAATGACAGAAGCTCTTAAATTGTTTCTTAAAATACAATTACACATACTCAGCCATTAGAAACAACAAATACCCACCATTTGCTTCAACGTGGATGGAACTGGAGGGTATTATGCTGAGTGAAGTAAGTCAATCGGAGAAGGACAAACAGTGTATGTTCTCACTTATTTGGGGAATATGAATAATAGTGAAGGGGAATATAAGGGAAGGGAGAAGAAATGTGTGGGAGATATCAGAAAGGGACACAGAACATAAAGACTTCTAACTCTGGGAAATGAACTAGGGGTGGTGGAAGGGGAGGAGGGCGGGGGGTGGGGGTGAATGGGTGACGGGCACGGAGGGGGACACTTGACGGGATGAGCACTGGGTGTTATTCTGTATGTTGGTAAATTGAACACCAATAAAAATTAATTTATAAAAAAAAAAAAAACATTAATAAAAAAAAAATACAATTACACAGTTTTCTACTCCCTCCCAACCCCCCACCACACAGAATGATATTTCTGTTACTTGACAGATCAGCACAAAAGAGCTTAGGAAAGAAATCAGGGCTTCTCTTCTTTCTCTCTCTCTCTTTTTTCTTTCTTTCTTTTCTTTCTTTTTTTTTTTTTCTTTTTTTCTTTCTTTCTTTCTTTCTTTCATTTTTTTCAAGTAAAGACAAAACATTTGGGCATGAACTCATTCAGAAATCATGCTAGCTCACCAAATTACACAGATTTTAAGAACCCTCAAGGCAGAAGTATTTATTAATAGGATTAAAATACATGCCCAAGGACAAAATTTGAATTAGTTGGCATACAAAACACTCATTATCAGAAAACTTTATATGCTATACATCTTTAATAATTTTTAAGAATATTTTTAAGAATAATTTTTGTTTGTAAAAACATTTATAAATTTTCAGCAATAGAGAAAAGCATCAAGAAGGAAAAAAATTGCCCCAAATCCAACCACCTAAAACTAACCACAATTAATATTTGAGAAACATCATCTCAGACATCTCCACGCATATATACTGAGAGGTCAATAGGAATAATGTTAGAGTGAAATTTTAATACAAAGTTCTAAATTTAATTTTATTTGAATTTAACTAACAGAGAAAAACTGAATTGGAATATATTCTAAATTAAAGATTTCTTTGACACAAAAGATAATCATTCTTAAAAGGCATCCCTAAGAAAATACATTATAAAAATCAAGGTTGTACAATTTCTAAAACTTTTTATTCATGGAAAATTTTAAGCATATACAAAGTAAATAGACTAATATGATGAGCTTCTATGTATGTGTCACCCGATTTCAACATTATTATCATTCTACTTTTCTTTTTATTAATACCACTATCCAATCCCTACCACCTGCTTTATTATTATTCTTATTGTTGTTTTACAGATTTCAGGGAGGTAAAGTCATGTACTGTGAAATGTACAAATCTTAGCTGTGCTAATTTGAAAAATTAATCTACTTATGTAAGTCACACTCCCATGACCACACAGAATCCATTTCCCACCAAATTCCTGTATCCCTTCTCAGTCTGCTGACTCTCCACACCACTTTTCTGAAAAACTTCGCCTTAGATTAGTTTTATTCTAGACCTTCATATAAATGGAATATGTATTGTGCATACTGTGGACTCTTCTGCGTCTGGCTTCCCTTGCCTGTTAGCACAACATCTGAGGTGCATTCCTGTTGCTATGTGCACTGGTAGTTTGTTCTTTTACACTGCGGAGTGATTCCAGTGTGTGGGAACACAATTTGTCTACTTTTTCTTCTGTTGATATTTCATGTGGGTGTTTCCAGTTTGGGCTGTTGTGAATGAAGCTGCTGTCAACAGTTTTATACAAATCTCTTTTGGGGACATGCGTTTTCATTTTTCCTGCACAAATACCCAGGAAAGCAATTCCTGGCCAAGAGTAGATGTAGGTGTTTAACTTCAGAAGAAACTACTAATGATTTTCCCCTCGAGGTTGTAGCACTTCGTACCTCTCCTGGTATGAGCACGCTTCTTACATCACATCCTCACCAGCATTTCATGGTGTCAATTGTTTTAGCCAATCTGGTGGGTCTGTAATGGCACCTCAATGTGGTTTTAGTTTGCATTCCCTTGTTAACTAATGATACTGAGCAGTTTTTCATGTACCTATTAATCAGTCATGGGTCTTCCTTTGTGAAGAGTCCGTTCAAGTGTTTGCCCATTTTCATATTTATTGGGATATTTATTAGTTTTAATTTTAATAATGTTTGCATGGTACATATTTTTCCATCTTTTTACATCAACCTAGTTTGTCTTTTTTTGAGTGCTTTCTTGTGGACAACATACAGTTAGGCCTTGTGTTTTAAACTGTTCTAATAATCTCTGTTTTCTAACTGGAGTATTTAATCCTTGGCAATAAATGTATTTATTGATAGGCTTGGATTTAGTACACCATTTGCTAGTTTGCTCCATTTGTCTCACCTTTCTCTTGTTCCATCTGTTCTTTCCTGCCTTCTTGGCGTTAGTTGAAAAATTTTAGTATTCTATTTTAACCTTTTGGCTTTTAGCTCTAACTCTTGCATTTTTAATGGGTACTCTAGGGATTACAATGTGCATCTTTAATTTATCACAATCTGCTTAGAATTAATACAGTATTTCTCCATGTGTTGTATATGTGTGTGTGGGTGGGTGGGTGGGTGTGGGTGGGTGTGTGGGTGTAGGTGTGTGTCTACAATAGTAAAGTTCCATTTACCTTTCTTTTATCTATGCCTTTGTTCTATTATTGTTATATATATTATATCATACATTCCACAATACAGTGTTAAAGGGTTTTTTGTTGTTTTGAATAGATACATATAAAGAAATTAAAAGAAAGAAAATAATACATGGTCTTTTATATTACCATTTCCAGGGGCCTCCAGTCCTTCCACTAACTTTGTGTTAACCTGTGGGGCCATTTCCCTTCAACTTGAGGAAGTTCCTTCAATATTTCTTGTGATGCAACAAATGTCTTCATTTCACTTTTATTTTTGAAGACTGGCTATAGAATTCTGTGTTGACGGTTTTACTCTACACTTTAAGAATGCTGTTCTACTGCCTTCTGGCCTCTACTGTTTCTAATTAAAAGAAAGCCATCCTTCATACCATTGTTTCCTTGATGTGATTTGATTTTCATCAAACTGATTTTAATTTTTTTCTCTTTATATTTAGATTTTGTAATTTTGACATTTGTCAGTGTGGCTTTATTTTTATCTATTATCCTGTTTGGGGTTTGTTGATCTTGGCTCTCTAAATTAATGTTGTTCACTAAATCTGGATAGCTTCAAGCCATTATTTCTTCAGACATTTTTCCTGTACTACTATCCCTCTCTTCTGGAACACAAATGACACGTGTTAGACCACTTGATGTTGCCTTACTGGTCTGTTGGGCTCTTTTTTTTTTTAATCTTTCTCATCCTGGTTCTTCAGATTGGGTCATTTCTGTTCAGATCCATTGACTCTTTTACCATATCCAATCTGCTTGGAAGCCCACCAGGTAAATTTTTAAATTTCAGACTCTGTAACTTTCAGTTCTAGGATTACTTTTTATTCTTCTTTTCGTTTATAGTTTTATAGTTCTGTTTCTCTTCTGAAATTCTCAATCTGTTTCCTTACTACACATCATTTCCCTTTAAGTCCTTAAACATATTTATAATAGCTCCTTTGAAGTGCTTGTCTGCTAACTGCCACATCTGAGTTATCTTGAGATTTGTTGTTATTGACTGCTTTTTTTCTTGAATACAGATACACTTTTTTGGTTTTATCACATGACTGGATACTGGATATTATGAATGATACATTATAGAGAATCTAGATTCTATTGTCTTCCTATGAAAAATGATTTTTATTCTAGCAGGCATTTCACTAGACCCAAGTTCAAAGTCGATCTCCCTGGTAGTGGGCAGCAGCTGTAATCTCTGTTCACTTTCATCTTTCAGCTGATACTCTTATGCCAGGCCAACTGGACTCTCCTCTGCATATGAGTTTGGCTGTCAGCCAAAGATCGAGATGGATTTTATACATATATTTTGTGCCTCAATTCCTTGGTAGCTCCTGGACAAGATTTCCTCCCAAACATCCTGGCAGTTGTGTCAGCCCCAGATCCTGTCCTTTGACATCTCAAACCATAATGCTGCGCAACAGCCCAAAGCAAGAGCACATTAGGAAATGCCCTCAAGCAAATGCTCCAAATTTAACAGATCTTGCCCACTGCAGTTATCTCTTCAGGGTAGAGGCTTCTACCCATAGGTGCTCTTAGGTACTGACATGGAAACACCCCAATACATAGTTTTAAGTGGAAAAAAAAAAGTTGTGAAACAATATGAATGTATGATACCACTTATATTTTTAAAAAGCTACTGCAGAAGTATATACATGAGTGTACATAGAAATGGGAAACATCAGCCATGGCTCTAAGATGGGGCTAGAATGGAGTGAAGGGGTATATTTCTATATTTGTATGTGTATATGTGTGTATGGAAGCTTCACATTTTTACTCCAGGAATTTCTATATTTGAATTTTGATAAGAATCACATGGGCTTTTAAAAAGAGAGACTTTTTTGAATGGTCTCTTGGTGGTTTGGTGGCATTTATTAGCTCCATTTGAGAAGAAATGCTCTTAAACTTTAGGTTAAAGGAATAAACACATCTAAAGTGCCTAGGACAGAGCCTAACACACAGTAGGCATCCAATAACCATGAGGCATTATTATTGCCTGTCATTATGTGGAAACAGTACCTCTTTCGTTTGGTTCAGCAGCAGAGAACATGGCCATGAAGCCATTCCCAGCTGTGTTGGCATCAGAAATCATCTGCACCATCATCTTGTTACCACTGGACACAAGGGCTCCAGGCCGAAACGTGCCACAAAAGCGCCCAATACGCTGGCCATTGGTGTGACCATTGTACACATCCACAAAGTCATAGCGGCACAGGTTGTCACTCTCAAGATCTATGAATCGGAAATTAAGAACTACTACTTTCCCCTCGGGAACCTGTAAAGAAAAACACCAATTGGAAAACCATGTCATGAAAACAATAACTGAAGTCTTCACATCTAGCCAATTACTAAAGTGAGCAGATAAAGTATTAATATGCAAGATGATGCTTTTCTTCCCTCAAATCTGAACTCAGAAAAGGGTTTTCTACCATAATGAATTCCTAATTATTTATTGTCTTTAGACAAATCCCACAGTTCATTAGGGTACACAATCTTATTCCTGGGAAGTTTATCTCAACACTAGGCCATAATTTCCTCCGTATAATTCTTATCATGCTTCCCTCCTTGTTCCCTGAATGGATAGAAAAAATGGCTAGAGAAGCATTGGCAAGATTCTAACAAAAGCCCCATTTCTTTTCCAATTCCCACCATCTTTTAATTTATCCATCCAAGTATTTGGTCATAAAGTCTCAATCAGATTTGTTTTACCTTTTCAACTAGATGAGATCCCTCACTGAAAGGCATAAGAATTTCTTTTTACAGATAACAAAAGTCAGTGATTTAAAAGACCAAACAAACCCATCACTACCAAAAGTGGCTCGTTTATATTCATTTTAAGTAATTATCTCATACTCACGGGTCAACAGATGCTTTAACATAAATACGGCTTCCTGTATTGATGAGTTCAGTGCCATAGTTTTTTTTTTTCCTGTGACAAACTTAAGTGTTTCAGTGCTATTTGCCTTTTGCATCAAAGACATACACACCCCATGGCAAAAACTGTAGTAAGGTAGTCTCAAAAGGATATTTTGTCTTTGTCATGGCTTTATCCTAATTGTGAAGAGCTTATCTTAAAAGAGTGTGAATATTAGAAGTTCCTAAACCACATAGTCTATGAAGCTGATAGCAGAAAATGCTATTTAATTTCTAAACATTCTTACTGAGATATCTCTTGTAGAACTCCTCTGGGTTTTTTGGTTGTAATTTTTTTTTTTTTTTTGCATGCAATCTCTAGTTAGCCTATGATCAGAAAATTACAAAAATGTGATCCTACATCTGTAATCTTAAATATAAGCAATCTATCAATCACTGAAAATTTTCCAGCCAAAAAAATATCCTAAACTATAGATTTAATGTGGATTGTCCTTGCATGAAGAGTGACTGTGTAAATGTGTAGATAAATTGTGTGGAGGGTAATTTAGAGCTCTGAGACTCTTCCACCCCACAGAGTAAAAAAGGGAAGCAGAAGGATTGACCCCTGGGGCACTCTGATGTCCTCAGGTCTTCCAGACAAGGTCAAACCAAGACAGAGACTGAGTCAGAAAGTAGGAAGCAATCAGAAGGGCGTGGTACCCAGAAGCCGAGTGAAAGGAGTGTGTTCAGGAGGCAGCACTAGTCAGCTGAGTTAGTTGTGAGAAACAGCCACAGAGTCACTGGTGACTCTGACAAAACTGTTTTAGTGGAGTAGCAGGGATAAAGCCTGACAAGAGAAGGATCAAGAGATAATGGGTGAGAAGAATTGGTGGTAATGAACAGGGACAAATTTTTCAAGTTTTGTTGGAAAGATGAACAGAGTAATATGTGGGTGGCTAGAAAGGGGGGCAGGGGGCCAAGGCAAGATAGTTAAAATGGACTATATTAAGGCTCATTTGCATGACAATTGGAATAATTCCACAGAGAGGGCAAAACTGATAAAGTAGGAGACAGGGATTGTTGCTGGAGAAATGTCATTGGGAAGATTTGCTCTAAGGCACAGACTGGGGGGGATGGAGCTATGCTGCACATATTCTCCAGCCTGGGCATCCTTGAGTTTCTGGGTAAGGAAGAAGAGAAAAGGGAGAAAGAGAAAAACAAAAACACACAGCAAGGAGCCTGGACCACTCTGCCTAGTGAGAGGAGGGAAGGCTGGGGCAGGTTGGGCTGTAGTACCCCACAGTTGAAAGCAAGGTCAGCAGCAGCAAACATGCATGTGAGATGAGCTATCAGGAGTCTGAAAACAGAGGAGAGGTGTGTAAACGGATTAAGGGAGTGTAGCAGGAGTGTCAGGAGTGCTGAGGGCCTGCTTGAGGTAAAACAAAGTGAGGCCTCTCTGCATGGTTGTAGTTCTCCCCAGCCATGTGCAGCCCCCGCCGCCCCCCCTTCCCTGGGTGGAGGTGCAGGGCAGATGGAGGGTTGGATTTAAGCAGCAGGGGGTGAGAGACTGGGAGAGTGGCATACAGTGTGCCAAGCAAGGACTATGGAGAAAAAGGGGGCCAAGAGAGTTGAGGACATAGGCAGAGGAGTGACCATAATGAAGGACCATGGAATCTAAGCTGAGTAAGGACAGAAATCTCGAATCAGTAGTATGAGGTACTACAGTAACAACCTAGATTGTGGTGGAGACAAGATAATGACCATGGAAGTGGGTGGTGGAGGAACAAGGAAGAGTGCTGAAGACCGTGACAGTGAGCCAGGGCTAAAATTTACAGGAAATGAGCAGGACTGTCCTGGGGTCTTTCTGCAACAAGAAGAGCAGAGGGGCAAAGGAGGGCAAGGTCCTGTTTCACTGGTAAGTTCTCAGTTCTTTGGCACTAAGAAAGTTCTGTTGATTCCTTTCTTTGGTCAAGGTGGATGCTCGTTTCCAATGGGATAAGTCAACATACATTCAGCAACAGAAACAAGGTTACATCATTGAGATTTTGAACACATGTTGATCCCAACAACATCCCCTGGCAAAAACTCTTTTGAAGGAAGGATGCAGAGATCTCTATCAGTTGTGGGTCTACTGTAACGAGAAACAAATGCCATCTTGCACTGAAGGCCAAAGAGCAATCTACTGCAGGGGAGATGCATGCTGCAGGGAGCCCTGTCACAAAAACACAACTGTTCTTCATTTTCTTTTTTTTGTTGTTGTTGTTGTTGTTGTTGTTGTTCTTCATTTTCATGTGAGCAATCAAGATTTCCTGGTGCCCTGTGATGTGAACTTTGCTTAGAGTTCCTGGGCGGTCATTTTTTTAAAAAAAGATTTTATTTCTTTATTCATGAGAGACACGCAGAGAGAGACAGAGACATAGGCAGATGGAGAAGCAAGCTAACTACGGGAAGCCCTAGGCTTCCCTAGGATGCAGAACTCGATCCCAGGACCCCAGGATCAAGTCCTGAGCCAAAGGCAGATGTTCAACCACTAAGCCACCCAGGCGTCCCCTGGATGGTCATTCTAAAGGACTTTGTAAAGCATATTCTCCAAAGTTGACCCCTCCACTTGACGAATCTATAGTCTGTACTCGATTTTTCTTTGTTAAGATTATATATAGAGAGAGTAATAAACACCTGGCTACCAGCCATCTGGAATTAATTATTTTTTTTTTAATTTATTTATGATAGTCACAGAGAGAGAGAGGGGGGGGGGCAGAGACACAGGCAGAGGGAGAAGCAGGCTCCATGCACCGGGAGCCTGATGTGGGATTCGATCCCGGGTCTCCAGGATCGCGCCCTGGGCCAAAGGCAGGCGCCAAACCGCTGCGCCACCCAGGGATCCCTGGAATTAATTATTGTTAACATTTTGTCAAGACATTTTTAGAGTCTCCTTTGATAAAATAAATACAAATTTTCAGAAAAAATGAGGTTTGTTGTCCCCATCCCAGGCCCTGTCTTCCTCTTCTTTCTCAGAAGCAACCATTGTCATAAATTTAGTGGGTTTCCTTCTGTGCCATTCAAAATACTTTTATATAAGTGTATATGTATCCATGCAAAATACAGTTATATTGGTGTCTGTTTTAAAAATTAATTTAAATTGGAAAATGCTGCACATATTCTCCAGCCTGGGCATCCTTGAGTTTTCTGGGTAAGGAAGAAGAGAAGGGGGAGAAAGAAATAAAAACAAAAACACACCGGGGGCACCTGGGTGGTTCAGTCAGCTAAGCAGCCAACTCCTGATTTTGGCTCAAGTCATGATCTCTGGGTCCTGGGACTGAGCCCCACATAGGGCTCCACTCAGCAGGGAGTCTGCTTCAGGATTCTCTCCCTATCCTTCCCTCCACTCATGTGCTCTCTCTTCCTCTAAAATAAATAAACCTTAAAAAACAAAAACTCACAGGCCCTTCACAAGTTACTCATTCCACCTAGAACGCTTTTCTATTTCTGCCCTTTTCTTGCTTGCGTTGAGGGCCTCAGTTTCAAGGACACCTCTTCTGGGAAGCATTCCCAGACCCCAGCTCCTCCTCCCAAGATGGGCTCTGCTTAGTTAGCAGCCTGCCCCTCAGGTCTCTGAAAATGGGATCGCTCAACCCACCTACTTCCTGTCTATTTTCCCTCAAAGATGAAGCTGCAGGAGGCAAGGCTCCCTCCTGCCTCGGTCACTGCTACAACCCAGCCTCTGGACATTGCATGGCCAAGCAGAGGGGCATCATGAAGATTTGTTAAGTGAATTAATCTGCCAGGAGCTAAATGGAATACCAGCTTCTTTGCACAAACCCTGGACAAGGGACCTACTGGGCAGCTCTACCTCTTGCATTCTAGTATCTCCTACCGTCACCGGCAGCAGAATTCCAGGAGGCTGCTCTCCTTTCTAGGTCATTCTTGACAAAAGAAAGAAGATGTATATCTTTTGGGAAACCTTATATTTCAAATCTCCTGTAATGCTAATACTTAATGCAGAAACTCCACTAAGATGCTTTTTTTTTGGTGGCAATGAGGAAAAAGCTGTTTTGTGAGATTATATTGGCCAGGGGATTCATTATCTCCCCGTGGAAAAACAATTCTATATTCATATTTTTTCCTGTCAACAGCTGAGTCCTGTGTGGGCCAAAGCCTTGTGCTGCAACAGTGACCTCAGCTCACCCCATAGCCCCTGGGATGTCCTTACTGTCACAGGCAAAAGTGCCAAGTCTCTTGATGCCCATGCCAGAGCTGCTGCCAGAGAATGAACAGGGGAACTGCGTTTTAAGCTGATGGTTTGCATTTTCAGGATACTGTGAGCAAAATGCAAATATGAGGGCAGCTTCTTTTGTATGGAGTAGATTTCTATAGAAATGGTAACTCTCCTTTGTGTCTGCAACTTTTCTTTCTCCTAAGGGA